TGTGTGTGTGTGTGTGTGTGTGTGAGTGGTCTTTTGATTCCAAAGCAGGAATTTAGTTTTTCAAAGCACCTACCTGTAGTTTTATTAAACACTCTTGTCAAAAGACTATTCCAAAACACATTATGTGGACAGTCCATATACATCCAGGCCAACTATTTGCATTAAAAAGTACACTCACATAGTGTAAATGCTCAAACAAGTACACACAAGAAATGTGAGCTCACATTTCCATGCAGACCCTGGAATATGATCAAATATTAATGGAATTGAAAGCCATCAATTACATTTATAGCCCATCACAGTGGTCGTGTGATCTAGGGCACAAACTGTCTTTGCCTGCTTGAACAATGGTGTCGTGGGTTCGAATCCCACTTGAGGCATGGATGTTTGCCTACATTTGTTTTCTGTTTGCTTTGTCCTGTGTAAGTAGCGGCCTTGCGATGGAATTGATTCCCCATCTAAGGAGTCTTACTGTCTACAAGGTTAAGAAACTGAAGTGAAACAAAGTGTTTCATGGATGGCCTATGCTTCAGAGGGAGCAACAGGAATATGAATGGAATTACATTTATAAATGTTTATCATTTTAAATAAAGAAACCTTAAAATAAATATCTTTTAAAAATAATACTGTCCTGTCACATTCTGGAATATTCAGAATCATCATGTGAAAATTCACTAGCACCCTTTAGTTTCTGTGACAATATCTGGCTACTATTCAAGATCAGACAATTCTTTCAGCCTTGAAGGTCAATAAAGAATATACAATCAGCTAATTTTACACAACATAACACTTACTTTCAGCCCCCAAGAATCGCATAAGCTGACCATACAATTGCTGCAGATTCAATACATCAAGTGAAATTCTCCTCAACTCTTGACTGCATTTCAGCAGCCATTGCCATGCATGTTGGATGTTCTCTTGAATTTGTGCACATCTGGGTCCAGACCATATCTCCACTGCATATGTATGCACTTGCTCGGAATAGTTATGGAGCAAATGGTGGCCATACTGTGCCCCTGAATGTAGGTGAACCTAAGAAAAAATGATACAAATTAAATTTATCTGAATGTCAGAATTGTATCATTAACCACATTTTCTGATCATTGTCAGTGTCAAGACATACGAGAAGTTGAATTTTTAAAGCACCTGCTATGTCATACAGCAGAAAAAGCATGGACTGATAATTAGATTAGATTTATATCAGCTGAAGAAACACACTTTACAAGGCAAGGGGCAGATTATAATGTCTTCAATTATAAAAATTAATGACATTATAACCTTTTTGATAATACGTTTTGTACAACCATAGAGGACACTGGAAATAATTTGCTAAAAGAATAACCTTTGATAGGTCTCAAAGAAAATAAATTTGTAAAATTCTGTCATATAGTATATAGTGACTGTCAACAGGATTTTGGATTGGATATGGGTTTATTGACCACTTATACACAAGACTCAGAACTACAAGCAATTACAGTGTAATCACTAATCTCCACAATTCACGGTCACTATAGCACCTGCTAAGTCTTTTCCAGACTGCTGTGTCTTCACCAGCTGTTCTCTGTTCTCTGTTCACTGTTCTAACAGTGCAGATTCTCAGCTTTACATGATCAAGTCCTCTCTGAATGGCAACTTCTTTCCAATTGCCTCTATTCCTCACAGACTTCTGTACAGAGCTGATTTGGCTGCCCCACCTGTCTTCCGCATAACTCCTTGACATGGACCACATACACAACACTGTTCATTCTCACATGCTAACCGTTTCTGCGGGAATGTGTCTGCATCACCCAGCAACGGTTTGCGTAACCCTATTTATTAAGAATCTGCTGCCCTATCACTGGCTTGTTTCGCAGCTATTACCCAGGAATGGATCTATGCCCTACAATACAAATCCAGAAGGGAAAGAAGTAGACTTTGAAGATAGAGGAAATGGAAAGAAGAGGAAGAAAATAACACTGTTTAGACAGATCCTTGAAATGATATGAAAAATGCTTTTATTTCTCAACATAATCTCCCTGTACATTGAGGAACTTGTCCCATCATTTCACAAGCCCTTGAAAACCAGCAGCATAAAATTATAAGATATAAGATCTTATGTGTTTTAAAAAGTAACAAGATCTAAACAACTCATTATTCTGACATTCATAAGTACAACACTAAAGGAAAACAGGATTTATATTTACAAATATGCAACATTGTTCATTGCAAAATAAATGTAACTAACATGGGAATCAAAATACATAACAGCTTTCCCCCTGAATTAAAAAGAATAGAAAATTTTAAAATTTTTAAAAATTAATTAAAGCTATTTATTACAGAACTGTTTTTATTCTTTGAAGGAGTTCTTAGTAACAATGATGGATGGTAGTTTGGTGGCGTGGGATGGCTTTGATGTGATGTGGATGTGTATAGATGGTATAAATGTATAGTTGCTTTATACTGGATTCTGGGTGTTGTCATTCAGGGTTGCTAGCCTCAGAGGGGAATGGTGATCCTAAGATGACTGTATCGTTCTTAGTCTTGTGTATCATTTTGTACATTTTTAAGAGTTGTTGAGTTGTAGTATTTTAGATGGTTTAAACTTACTTGTCAAATTGTACTTGTGTAACAGTTAATGGAAGTAAATAAATTATTAATCATGATTCATCAGCAAAATTCATATGTGCCTAATGACAAGCAGCACACCAGTCACTGTGAAGCTCAGAGCTGTGGACTCGGTCCACACATTAAAATTATTCTCTGTATATCTAAGATGTTTCATTACCTTCTTCTTTCTCTGTAGCACATTTCCTTCACAATTATAACACATATATCCTTAAATCAGCAAGAACCAGCTCTAGAATCAGTTACTGATCTACTGTTTCTTTTGCACTCCTCTCTTGCTACATCTTGTGTGAGGGTTAAAATGTAAAATTCTCATGTTATTCAGTAATGCCTACATAGAACGAACAGTTTATTTTACTTTACTTCATGAAGTTTCCAGATGATGCCAGCTTATGCTAGCTTTAGTTTATAGTTTAATATTTATATACAGGACATCATGTAAGTAGCACAGAACAGATGTTTTTCTAGTGGGAAAACTATTAGATCACAAGCTGCTCCCCTACCTTTAGTAAATCTCTTTAAGTTACACAAAACTGTAGAACTAGTTCATTCCTTTATAAATGACTATAACTGCACCAGTGTTCTTGCATACCTAGCAACTGAATAAACATTATAATACCAATATGGTGCTACATTATATATTTATTAGAACTAATAAATGTACTGAATATGCACTAAACTAGGTTAACATAACATTATAAGCAACATGCACCCAGTTAAGCTTAAATAAGCTAACCTCTCACCTGTTCTATGCCAGCGTGGTTACTAATTGGCAAAGGTGCTCCAAAGAATTACAACAACTTAAGGGGACAGAAAATTAAACTGGCAGAATATATTACCTGTTTCACTGGTTAAAAAGATAAGATAAATTTACAATAAAGTGACCAGTTACCTGGAGGGCTTGAATGCTTTAGTGTCTGCACTGGTTAATTGTAAGTAAAACCAACATTCATTGTCAGGTTTGGGAACTTCAGTTAGTAATTACATAAGGTCAAAATTCATAAAAGAATATGTGATCACCATATTGTGAAGTCATTCTGAAGATGGGCTCAGATGAACACAAATAAATGTATACTGCTGTGTAATCTGGCCTACTGTGGTCGAGATTTTTGTTAAATCACAACAATATTAACTTTTCATTAATTCTGGTCTCGCATTTTCTAACAGTGAAGTGTTCTTACAGAGATAGTGGTACAATAACGTATATATATTCTAAATAGAATTTTATAAATTATTCCTGTACCTGTAATGCTTCTAAACTTTGAGTTACATGAAATAAAACTTCATCCATTCCTATTCTGTGCACCAACTTCCTACTAGCACTTCATTCTACAATAACATAACCTGAAACAGAAAATTAAATTCGGAGACAGTAGGTACATTAGGCTCATTAATATTTTTATGACATGACAAGTAGTCGCTGTAAAATTTTGAGGCTGTTGATGTTCCAAGACTCAAGGGTCAAGGTACTTTGTCCATTTCACTAATAATTTATTCCGCTTATTCTCAACTGCACATGCACTAGACCTGAAACGCAGTATAAGTAAATATTTAAAGAACACAGTCACTACATTTCACTTCTTTACAATCAACTATTCATTCAATATTTTATCAAACCCTACGGGGGCCCTAAGTATCACGTTAAATACACGATCCGTTTGTTCACTAGCAGACGAAAACAGAACCTACTTTCAGCTCCTTGCTTTCTTTCCTTCGGCCGTTACGCCCCCCACAAACTTCACCGTTAAAACCGTTAAAACGGTTACAACGGTTACAACTAATTCGATCTATTTCCCTCTCACTCCTTCGCTTTTCGCTCTGCATCCTCGCCACCTAGTTACTTACCTGCGTAAAGATGGCACCAGTAACGCCAAAGTGACGTCACGACAAATATTTGCCCGACTATACTACTGAGTTGCCAGGAAACTGTTAACACATCTTTCATCTGCGGTTATTGGTTTCATTCTGTTCATTACCTACCCGTGGTTTTCACAGTGTGTTATAACAGAGTGTAGCACGTTCGATTTTTAAGTTCGAATGGATGTTTGCCTAGAATAATTATGCTTATTCATGTGTTTTTACGGTATGTTTGAATCCTTGTACCTTGACCATAGAAAGAAATGCTAATGAGCGTAGCGTAGTAAGGCGCTTTAAAATGACGGCTCCAGTGAAACCTTGGGAAGTGGCAGGTGTAAATTCTTGTGCTTTACCAGCTACTCCAGGCTTGGAAAATGTCACGTAAGTTCATTTTTTATTAAAATATGAGTCCATATCCAGTCAATTTATTACAAATGAATTGTGATCAATTTAGGTTTGCAGCGCTTCGTGATATTTAGTACATTTTAAGAAGTCTGTCACTCCTTTGCAGGGATTCCAGTAGGTTACAAAGTTCGGCACCAATTCCAACTGTTCAAACAGTTCATTCCGGCCCACCACTGAATGTGAGAAGAGTTCGAACAGTGCCAGCCCCACCTCCTCGCCCACACAGGCCGATACTCGGACAGAACTATATCCCAAATGCCACACAGTATTCACCATATGCATCATATGGGAATTATGGACCCAGTTATGGTGGTTATTCAGGGTTTGGTTCATATGGGAATACTTATGGAGGCTATGCTTCATATGGAAGTTATGGGATGAATCGTTTTGGATATAATTTGACAGGAAATGATCCTGAAAGCAGGTATATCAGTTTGAACTAAATGGCATGATAAATAGCAAATGTGTTCCTAATGCATTTTCTTTTCACATTACATTAGGTATATATTTACAATGCATTGAGTGTTTACTTACCTATATTGTTTACGTGCCAAAATGCTTTGAGATTACTTTCGCTATTAAGACATTTTAGTTGTACTAGTGAAGTCAAGTGAACAAGGGTTTTCAGAATTTACACAAGCTTGGGTATTTTACCAATGCTTTTTCTTTTGTACATAAATGACCTACCTAAAGTAGTTAATTATAACTCTAAGCCAGTCATGTTTGCTGATGATACCAGCATTATTGTTAGTAATCCTGATTTAGTAAATTTTAAGAAGGATATTATTTCCTCTTTCAGACAGTTGAATGAATGGTTTAATATCAATTTGTTGTCATTAAATTATAACAAAACTCATATATACAATTTAGAACCACTAACAGCCAAACAGTTCAATTAGATATCAGTTATAATAATAAATATATAATTGACAATACAAATACTTGGTTTTTAGGTATTACTGTTGATAGCTCTTTGTCATGGAAGCATCATATTGATGGACTAATGGTTAAATTAAGCAAAGCCTGTTATGCTATTAGCAGTGGTGTGCGGTACTATTTTTGGTAAGGGAAGCAGTGGTATCTAATAAACGAACTGATAGCAATCAACTCACCAAAATTTACGTCACTTATTGAATCAATAAGATCATTTTGTATTCTGTTCGATAAACCTATAAATACTGTACTGTTCTCAAGGTGAACATTGAGTTTATGATCATATTTCCTCAACAAGTGAACTGATTCCACATAATTACCTCAGTTGATAGAATGCACGCTTTCGTCATGACCACGGAGGCCAAATTGCCGCTTTCCTAAATGGCAGATGATATCAGTCAAGTGTTTCATTATTTCTCTATGTAGTAGTATCAACAGGCGCTTTTGATTGTCAAGTTGACAGTCAATTCGAGATTTCATGAACATAACAAGTTGCACTGTTGAAATAATGTGAGTCTGAGAGTTCTCATGTCGTTTCAATGCTCTATAAAGGTTGTTGATATCACCAAACCCAGTCTTGTTCCATACATTTTTTTCCTCGAGAAACAATAGGCATGGGCAACAAAACAATTTTTCTATACTATGGCAACCAGATAGCCACTCTGTTTTAGAATACTGTTCCAAATTAAATTTCCTCACACATAATTTGGTTTGTGCTTTAAGTTCTGGCACTTCTCATGTCGGTTGTCCTCTTTCTATAATTATTTTATTTTCAGAAAAGTCCCTGCTATTAAACCTCCATTTTAAAAGGCTTTCGATTGCACAGTCGCAGTCGCATTGTCTGTGAGCATTCATTTTAGCTGTGGCCTGTGCATGTAGTCTAATCATGCCCCTGCCATTGTACCGCAGTAAGAGATTTGCTTCCCTTAAACGCAGATAGCTTCTTTCTGATGCGTCAAAATACGATCACAAATACGATCTTATGCCATCTAAATATACACTTACAATATTTTAATAAAATTTAAGGTTACCTATAACACCCAACAAGACTGAAATCATACATAAACAGTTAATTTTCACATAACCATTGAACACAGGCCTTCGCTTTCATATCACAGGCATTAGCCAGCAAACTGAAAGTTGCTTCCTTGCCCGCTTCGTGTGCGACGAATTCTTACGGAGTTTAACGAAGGAAACTTGGTCTGTCCCACCAAGCAAGGGAAAGGAGGAGGAGGCATGTGGCCTTGAGCAGGAACGCATGCTAAATGACAGTATTCAAATCCTTATTATTCAAATTGAATTATTTATATATGACTTCTTTTCTTTTCATTTCTTACCTACGGAAGCAATGCTTCCGTTGCTTCCATGCACAGCACGCCACTGGCTATTAGATCTTTAATCATTCCTCACTTGTTTCCCATAAATATAGCATTGTCTTTTTTTGTGGTTTTATTATAAACCTCTTGCAGTTGTGCATAGACGCTTTGTTTTATCTCAATTTCTGCTGCTTCAGTACGGGCATAATATTGTATTGTAGTAACGCTGTAGGCATGGCTTTGAAAACATGCTCTTATTATCCTTTCTGTTACTGGCTTCCAGTCTAACAAACATACTGCCATTCTTTTATTTCAGAGAAGGCCAACTCCTTGCCTGTGTTCATCTTCAGCATTCTGTCTTCCTGAATATAAAAATAGCATATTGCTTGGAGTTTTCATTTCTCTTAACTCATTCCACCTAACTTTGCTCATTCCCAGTATATCTGTTTTATAGCTTGGTGGTGTTTTGCCACTTCCAGTAAGGTATGGATGTTCCAAAAACCAATCATCATTTTCCTGTTCGGGCCAAAAGTAGTCATAAAACAAGCCGACCGGCTGTTGCTTCGTTCTATTTCTATAATGAGTTGGTTTAAGAAGAGTGGGTCATTAACCCCCTGCTTCCGAGTGCCCTGATGGGGCTGCCATCCAAGATGTAGGCAGTGCCCTCTAGCACCTGTGTTCATGCTATTGAGGGTAGCATTTCATATGCCCTCACATTAGTGTGGTTATCCCACCAATGTCCGATCATCAGAGCCTCTTTTGTGATAACAGGGTCCACCACAGTGATTTATATAGTGTGTTACAGTCATTTGTAGTTATGAGTCATAAGTTTTTAGTAAATTAAATAGTCAAACCAAACCACATGTCTACTCAGTAACGTGTGACAGTATAATGGTAGAGATTAAAGGTTTTATGTGCTCTAAATACATTACTCTTGCAGTGACATATGCCGTTTTGCAGGAAGTTTTCCTAGCTGAAGTCTTCACAAAAAATCAGAACTTAAAGAAAGTGCATTCAGAGGTTTACACATAACTGTCTATAAGAACAGGTTTCCATAAAGTTGTGTGTTTTAAAGCTTGTCAACAAGTGGTAGCCCATGGGCTTAATTTGTGCCCCCCCCCCCCCAAAAAAAAAAGTGATTCAAGAGAAATGTTCTGACTGAAGAAAGCAATCAAGACAGTCAAACCTGTTTAGTGATCAATCCTCACAAACCATTAAGACCCTTTGTGTCCCATGAATCACTAAGGATGATTTACTATTCTTATTTTTATGCAGTTGTTTCATATGGTATAATCTTCTGGAGAAATTCACCTATAGTATCAATACAGGGTTATTCAAAAAGAATGAACCAATTTTATTATGCAGTATTTTATTAAAGGAAAGTCACAAGTATTCTACTCACAATCAAATTTTATTTCCTGTCTTACAAGTGTTCAGTGTGGCCACCACCTGCAGCACGGGCAACATCAATGCGATAAGAGAATTCCTCCCAGGCGCGTATAAGCATATCATGATGCACTGAGTTAATCACTGTTGTTATTCGATGTTTAAGGTCATCGAGGTTAGTGGGTAGCGGTGGAACATAAACGTGATCTTTTACATATCCCCACAAGAAGAAATCACACACGGTGAGGTCTGGGGATCTCGAAGGCCAAGTTCAAAGAGCAAGGTCTTGGGCCCCCTTCCGACCAATTCATCGCTGGGGCACTTTTTCATTTAAAAAAGCTTGGACCATCAGGTGACAATGGGGTGGTGCTCCATCTTGTTGAAAAATGAAGTCATGCGAATCTGCTTGCAGTGAAGTGAAGAGCCAGTTTTGGATCATATGGAGATAGGTTTGTCAAAGAAAAAGGGACCATAAACCTTGTCCTGAGACGCAGCACAGAAGACATTCACCTTAGGGGAATCTCTTTCGTGCTCAACTGTTTCATGTGGGTGCTCTGTTCCCCAAATACGCACATTGTGACGATTGACTGTGCCGCTCAAGTGAAAAGTCGCTTCATCACTAAAAATCAAACGTGAAATGAAGGTTTTGTCTTCCATCATCTCCAGCATCGAATTGCAAAATTCCATCTGCTTCCTTTTGTTGTCATTGGTAAGTGCCTGAACGAGCTGCAGTCTGTATGGTTTCAAATGTAGACGTACTGTTAGCACACGCCAGACAGTGGATTGAGGGATCGCAAGCTCACGGCTAGCTCGATTTGTTGACTTCTGCGGGCTCCTCTCAAACGCAGCACGGATTCTCGCCACTTGTTCCTCCNAGTGCCCCTGTGGCAGCCATTCACAACTTAGATAACGCCTCTTTCAAATGGTCACTGACTCATTCCATGATGATGCTTGAGAACTGAAGCATGCATCATGAAATTGGTTCATTCTTTTTGAATAACCCTCTATATTTAAACTACAAAAAAAAAAAAAGGCCATAAGAATTATTACAAATTCCAGAAATATGGATTCCTGTAGGGAGTTGTTTAAGAAACTAGATATATTATCGTTTTATTCTCAGTATATATTTTCATTACTAATTTTTGTAATTGATAATATCTCCTTATTTAAAAGAAATTCAGAGCTATATATATCAACACCAGAGGTAAAAATAATTTTTACCCTTCACAGCCAAGGTTGTCTGTCTATAAAAATGGTGTTTACTATATGGGTATAAAGGCATTTAGTCACTTACCTCCTTGCATAAAACAATTGTCTGATAATAAGAATCAATTTAAAAATACTCTAAAAATTACATTCTATTGAATTCATTTTATTCACTGAATGATTTTTTAATAGTATTTACTAATTTTAATGTGAATTTTTAAGATTTTATGTATCATAGGTGATTTATTTTGGCATAAATATGTTATCATCTACCTTTTGGTATGATGATTTTTTACAATATTACATTTAAGATGTTGTTATGTTTAATGTTAAAGTAGGAAGATAAACAGTTTGGTTTATTGTTTGATCTGACCTATGCTTTTTTCATAGCATGTGTATTTTAGTTGCTTTGTCTGTATTTGTAGCCTAGATTGGATCGATGGACTTTTACAATAAACTAAACTAAACTACCAGAAACTGAACTAAATGTGGGGTTAGGTTTGGGTAGTTCAGTTTACTTCTGGTTTATATTGGGTTCAGTAAGTATAAGTAGACCATAAGATCTGCCACAATTTATGAGACAAAGTTTGATGTTATGTGGGGGCGTGCAAAGGAGGCTTTAACTCTGGGTCTTTCTGGAAAGGCAGTCAGGTTTTAATATCTTCTAATTTCCAGACCATGTACCAAACATCACTGTATTTTGTGTCTGAGTTTGGCAGTCTTGGGAGAGTGATAATCATTTAAACATATTTGAATATGTGCACTATCAGCATCCATGACCATTCGCAGCTGGTATAGAAAATTTCACACAACTGCAGGCAGAGTTTCTTCACTGACACTGGTCACTAGTGCTGAAATTTCTTATTTCAGTTCTTCAGTTGTCTGCATGTTGCTATGGTGAACTGTATCAGTCAGAAAGTCCCAAGAGAATTAATCACATGGGTTGAGATCAGGAGAGTATGGTGGCTGGGAACACCCATATCCAAACCATTCAGGAAAATGATTGGACAACACTCTGTCATCAGAACTCTCATTGAACACATCTGACACTACAGTCACAGTACCATCCTGTTGATAATATGTTTCCATGGAGGAGTGGAAGAAATTCTTGGAGAACATGGAGATAGTGATCAGCCTTCATAATATTGTCAAACAAAAATAGGCCTAATTATACCACTAGTTGACAGAGCACATTATGCCATGCATTTTCTGCATGTAACATTGTCACCATTTGTGCCAGTGGTTACCGGCCCACATGCACTTCTTCTGCGTATTCACATAGCCATTAAAATGATAATGGGCCTGATCACTAAACCAAATGCTTTGGGGTACTGTGGATTGTCCTCCAGAAACATCTTCACACAAGCCAACTTTCCTGCCATTTTGTATGTCTCACAGAGGGTTTGTTGCATTTGAGTTTTGTACAGAAGTTTCACATTGCAGATTATCCTATATGATAAAGATGCACCAAATCTGAGTTGTTGAGAAAGATGTTTTACAGATTTATTGGGACTGCATTAGTGCCTGCTCAACTCGGTGAATGTTCTCTAGTGTTGTGTCAGCATTCTTCTTGCCTACCACACCCTTCTTATTGCTGATCACATTCTGCTGATTTCAGACTTTTGTAATTAATCTATCTATTGCAGACCTGTTTGGGGCTTTCCTGCACTCAAAAATCACTCAGAATTCACATTGAATGTCATGACACTAACAGTCTTGTGAAATTTTTTCATTAAAAGCAGACGTCATTGTACTGAGTAAGCAGTCTTGATCACTGCTCTATGATGATGTTTCTACCAGGGGAAGCTACATATGCACATATGTATGTCTCTTTAGAAAGACCCCCATCCATGATCACTGCATTTTAAAGTTGTTCTCCTCAACTGTTCTTGCATATCCAGTAGCACATTGACTAACATTTGAGGTGTATTTTCAGGTTTATTCAGTTAGTTGAAGAAAGTTCTCGTCCAGCATTCCAGTCGATCGAATCAGTTGTCCATGCATTTGGATCTGTTAGCTTCATGCTGGAATCAACATTTAATGCAGTCTACAGTTCATTTCGTGCAGTACTAGGTGTTGCAGAGAACTTTGGTCGATTGAGGACTATGTTTGGACAGTTCTATTCAACATTTGCTGTGTTGCGAATCATCCAGTGGTTATATAAAAAGTTGCTGTATTTAATAGGTAAGTCTGTACATACATTTTGACAAATTAATAGCATCATTACTGGACAAGTTGCAGATGCCACAGCAGTATTATCTATGGCCTTAATATTTTAATTTAAAATATTACTCTTTTCCCATTAATCTAAACTTTAGAGATTGCTCATAGCCTTGGACCTTCTTTGGTGTTATGGGAAAGAGTGTCAAGTCCATAACATCACTCTTCAGGAGGAGAAGAAACAATTTTAGGTGTTTATGCGGTCATGTATTTAATTCAGTATTTCACTGTTAAAAAGAAAAGTAAAGGTATTCCTATAACAGGCCGTGGAGGCCCATAGGGTTGTGAGATGTTGAGGTTCACACATTTTCTAGATGATCAGCTCATAGATGGCAGTAAGTTTGTCAGCCATACATGCCGGCTGCCCATTACTCCCAAGAACATTCCAAGAATATTCCTGGTACTCATTTCTGTTAGAGGATGTGTCGACCCCAGGGCCATAGTGCAGTTGGAAGGATTAGGTAAATTGAAAAAAATCCATCAGGATTCGATTCCATGACCTATCGGCTTGTAGCATGGTGCCTCAACCAACTATGCTACCGCGTGCCCCCAATATTTCATTGTTACTGAATGGAAAGCATTATTCTTTAGTGACATAACTCAGTTCTCACTGCATTGCTGATGGAATCATTGGGAGGCGAAGCACCATGACAAAAGCCAACACCACGTTGAAGAAGTAATTCAGCAGACATGCACAACATTAAGACTGATGGCATTAGAGTTGGGTATATCATATGATGTGGTTCATGCTATTGTTTATGATGTCTTATGTTGTTGGGAAGAGTGTGAATTGTAATGGATTTGAGCAATGCATTGCCAGGCAGCAGCTTCGTAAAAACAGTACATTATGCAACAGTAGAGAGGGTAGCATTTATCCTGTTAAACATCAACAATTTTGTTGTGTTGTGACAGATTTTAATAAAGAAATTTAAATACAGAGACTGTTTTCTGTGGGGTCAGTGCTGTGACCATTGCTATGCAATGGTTCGGTAAATGCGTTTCAACAATAGATCTGTTTTTTCTGTGTGGTCCGTGCTATGGCTGTGTAGCAGGATTCCAGGAATAACTGAGACAGAGAGCGGAGAGTTGCCTGTGTGGAGGCGGGGTCCAATACCTCCATCCTGACCCTGCGAGTCATAAGAGGCGACGAAAAGTGAAGTCTCAATTCTGAGACAGTAAAATATGGTCACAAGTCTCAAGGGACTCGGACCCAAGAAAAACTGCGCTTGCAAGGGCCAGCAGCATATACAAAAGACAGACTCGTCCTCTCGTCAGAGAGGGCGCCACACAAAATCAAGACCGTAACTGTCAAACAGTAATAAATATCTGGTCATGAGCCCCAGATGGGGCTTGAAACCAAGACTTACTGACTGACAGACTGTCAGTCGCAATGTGACTTTGACTTTGACCTTGACCGAGACAGAGAGAGCCCACCAAGTGGCGGCGGGATCGAATACCGCCACCGTGACCCTACAAGGTGTAGGAGGCAACAAAAAGGGAAGTCTCAGATTTGAGACAGTAATATATAGTCTCGAGTACCAAGGGACTCAGACCTGAGAAAGACTGTGCTGGCAAGGACCAGCAGCATATACAAAAGACAGACCTGTCCTCTCATCAGAGAGGGCGCCCACAAAAAACAAGACCGTAACTGTCAAACAGTATTAAATATCTGGTCATGAGCCCCAGGAGGGTGCTCAACACCGAGACTTACTGACTGACTGGCTGTCAGTTGCAATGTGACTTTAACTTTAACTTTAACCAAGACAGTGACAGTAACAGAGTTCTGAGTTCTGAGTTCTTGGTGGAAGATAGCCATGGGAAATTCATAGAAGACTTAAAGTGTGATTAGAAGGCTTCATTCATGTGTAATATTTGGAGTGATTTGAAGCACTAGTTCCTGCGTTTTGTGTTACCAGGAGAGGACCAGTGTGTGTAAATCAACAGCAGCACTGTATTTAAATATGATCAAGAGAACTTGCAACCAACCAAAGTTCTAATAAATCCAATCATCTGAAGTAGAACCCGTCATTTTCGTCACCCGTACCACCCTGAACATGACATATGCTGAATTTTGCATGCATTAATGTAGGATAACAAAGTGACATGCATTCTGGCAAGTCTGACAATAAGCAAGAAGGAAATGGCTTTCTTAACCATATTGTTACTTTATGCCACCATGCAAGTGCATATCATTGTCCAAATCCAAAAACTTCAAAGTGACACCCCCATCAGGAAAGTTGTTAGGGACAGTCTTTTTCTGCTTTTCATTGGGCTTAATTAAATAAACGAATAAAGGAAGAGTGTCTGTTATCATTTAAAATATGGTCCATAAACATTCTTATTTTTTCTGAATTGGCCCTTGTGCAAAAGGGATTAGTATGATATGTATTTATACAAATATTCTTCTCGCTTCTACACATTTTGCAGTTTACTACTACTTTCTTGTTCCTTGGCACTACAGCCCCAGTGGGCCTAGGCCGACCTCCATGAACTTCTCCGTTCACTTCGGTTTTTCTAGATCTTACACATTCGGCAGGACTCCTTGGGTGGGTGATCAGCTCTTCGCAAGGCCTCTACCTGTACACGAACACAGAAAAACGCTCACACACAAACTAAATATCCATGCCCTGAGTGGGATTTGAACCCACGATTCCGGTTTCCAAGCGAGCGAAGACAGTACATGCCTTAGACCGCTCGGATACCGTGACCGGCACAACTACTACTAGTACTACTACTAATATATATATTTATTATTTACTGCAATTGGGCTTATGCCCGGATTACTCACCATTGGCCTATGCTAAAGAATAAACCAGGATAAAGCAAGCAGCAAACAGGAATGCACATATAGAAAAATTCTGAATTATATAGAATATGAGGGGTTTTATAGTCCATCCCATCAGTTTGCATTGGCTGTCTCTGAGAAACAGTGCACCAGTAGGGGACAAGAGAAGGGTAATAGGCTGGGCCCTGTAATGCCCTAGCGGCGCAGGGGGG